AGTGATTAAAAATAAATACGCCCCGTATGATGCAATAGTTATAAAAAGACTGCACTCTCATGCATTTTTGCAATACATATATTTGTTGACTTTATAGCCTAGAAATTCTATTTAGAATTACTGACCACGATTATAACGTTAAGCCATATATTCCTTGATGTAAATGATAAATAATATATAAATAATATAAATGATAGTGAAATAATTCAAATTGGTTCGAATTGGTCTCTAATTAACCCTATATTAAAAATTAAGTACGTTCTTTTATAAAATATAATCAGTATTATAGAAATCATTTGAAACACTTTATTGTTAAAACTACTTACACCAAAACTCCGTTTTATTGTTTCAAAAAACATTTTTTTAGAGACCGATCCAAAAGGCGTCTTATGCGAGAAACCGTATTATGCGTAACAGGGACAATATGCTTCGAAGTGTAGGGACAAGTGTAAAGTGTCGTGTTATGCGTAATATCATATTAAGCATAATCGTCTTAACAGGGTTCTAGTCTTCAAATTACTTGAAATTATCTCGTAGCAATGAATTTTTCTTTGAAAATATATATTTTGTCTACAACTTCAAGTGAAATTAGATGTTGAAATATGAGAATAAAATCTTGAAAGGGATACATTAATTAAAGAATGATATTGCAGATTTTGAATATGAACAAATTGGAGAATATTTTTAATTTAATGTATGCCTTACATTAACATGATATTTTATACGTAATACATATTTCGTATCGTAGTTACTGCGCGTTTTTTTCTCGTAACTAGAAGGTTTGCTGTGGAGTGTCATACAGTATAGATATCTATTTTTACTCGAAATTGTAAATAAAATATGTTTGCAGTAGGCACTGCGGTGTAAAATTGTCCAATAATTCCCCTCCTTCCTGTTGCAATTTAATTTTTCAGTTTTACTGTGAAATATTTTTTGCGCAATAGCACATAATTAACGATTAATTATTAGCATAAAATTATAGCATTAGATTTTTTTTAATTGTTTGAAATACAACACAACTTCTAATGTATCATCTTATATTCCATGACCGATTGATAGGTAGGATAAAGTGTTATATAGAATTAGATTTTTTTTAGTTTTTTAGCATAGAATGCAACTTTGTATTTACAACAGTATACACGCGGCGTAAGCAAAACTTTGTTAGGTAAAATTTGAAAATTTCTAGGAAAATTATATGCAGACACATAGCATTTTATATGTCGTTGTATTCGAAATTTATTCTAAAGACAGTATTAGCGTACGACCAATAGTTTCCAAAAAAAAATCCGGAAAATATTCACGAGAACGTTTATATAAAAAAGCAGTAAATTGGTAATATAATTTAACCTACTTCACGTTAAATTGAATCACTTTTATAAGAAATTTTAATTTACATTAAAAATACAATAACAATAATTATAAAAAATAATGAATTATAACATCCAAATTTTTTTACAAAATGATGATCCATTATTATCTAAATCATATTGCCTAACTTGAAAGTTTTTTTAGTTTTGATTTTTTTCCTAGTAATTTTTAAAAATTACGCGATCACATAATATTTATATTGTTTCACCATTTCTCTGTTAAGGTTAATGAAAGTAAAAACTGTGACTAAAAATATACATTTTTAAATGTAAATAAACCTTCCCTGGGCCCGTGTAACTTTCAAGTCATATTCTAAATTTTTACCATAGTTTACCTAATAATTACTGAAATGGTGCAAAAATCTTAATTCTAGAACATTGTCAAGACAACCAATATCAATGTTCATGACCATTACTAGGCGAACATTTAGGCTGCCGCTTGAAAATCACAAAATACACTACAACAAAGTTGCTTAAACAGAATTTCATTTTCTTATATGTATAAAATTACTGAATTTTTCCTCGCCAAATTTTTTATGTAAAATAAAAATTCGGTTCACAGAGAATTAATTTTATATGCATAAGTAATTTATACATTGGTGCACCAAAATATCAATCAATCAAGGTACCTTCCGTATAATTAGTTAATGCCAGAATAAATAAGTTAAGTCTAAATCGTGATGTTCCTAAAAAATATAAATTCAATAAATTTTTTGGACTTACATACGTACATAAATAATAATTGGTAGTACAGCTCCAAGGCAGGTCTGTGAGCTGAGTTAAACACCAATTCAAATCAGAGAAGAAGTAGTATGAGAGTTTTTCCCATTTCCATTTACACCGCAGTGCCCGAGATGGGCTTATTTTCAGTTTAGTACAGTAAAACCTTGATTATCCGGACCTCAGTTATATAGTAAAACCTTGATTAACCGCGACAGAGTTATATTTATGTACATACCTACAATTCGAATTTTTATACGATTTATGCTGCAGTTTAGTATATGTATTTAATATAATCTATGTATATATACATACATAAGGAATCGATAATTTCTTATTAAACATTGATTTTCGTTGATATTCGTTATTTTTAATAAATACACATAATTATTCTTCATACATCGGATTATCCGAATTTTCGATTATCCGGATGCCTATCGACAACAATTAGTCCGGTTAATCGAGGTTCTACTGTGTATCAATTCATAAACAATCAATAAACAATAAAAATTCAATAAATGTTATTAAATTCTTTATTATCAACGCGGAATGCTTCAGGTATCAGTTTGCATGTGATAAGTCTTCGTAACCTTAATGTTATTTTCGACGGCTACGACAAAGCACGTGTCTTAGGATTGTAAATTCCCCCTGTTTGGTCGCACATGCGCCCCATTGAAAACTCGTAACCGCTTCAACAACCCCATGATTTTAGCACGAATTCAAACCATGAATTGAGTTCTGCGCCCGGGAAATGGTTCAGGTTTTTCACCGCATGAGGGGTGTTTTGGCTTGATAACGGAATTGTAGATATAAATTATGGTAATAATAGGTACTCTAAAAAACTGTTGTGAAGTTTTGATTTTTTTTTAATGTTTTGTGATACCTATACTTATGATATAAAACTTATATGTGTTATATATATATATATATATATATATATATATATATTCTATCTATTCTAAATGAAAAAAATGTGTTAATATTTTACGTGTTATGGAAAACAAAGATTTCGCAAACTACTATACGTCATAAAATAACGCACTATTCGTTGACAAGCGTCAATTATTAATATAAAGCGTGATACAAATGAAGTCTCTGTGATGTCTGACGATAGTATAAAAAATAAATATGTTTTAGTTAAACGTCAATATTATTTTTACTCACTGAATCATTACCTCAGTTATAAAACTGTATGGCATAATTAATCAATAATTGTTATATTAGACATATATACACATATTAGTGTATATATTGTATGATTTGCAGGTGCATCAGTTATATTAACAACTCGCAAAATATACCATGCAATACAAAAAAAATAAAAACAAAATAGAACAATGCGTATTCAAAAGCCAGTAAATATAATTGATTTGACATTTCATACAGAAAACACCTGTATTAGTATTGTAACACATGTTCATTGATATCGTGTTGGTTGATTTTAGTACATAAATAATACGACACATTCAATTTGAGTCGCACGCAACAGTATATGTCAAAAGAAGTTGATGGTTTGAACTTTTATTATATTTACTTGATATTGTGACTGACTTGTAATGCGTTCATTAGTTTATTTTTTTTTAAAGTGCAATAATTTTATATAATTTCATACTCATTTTTAAACTATTATAAATAGTAACTTTATTTGCATGCCTCCAAAAAACACAATGCACCAATAAACTCATATGCACGTATGTTTAATCACGCATGTATTACTAATAGTTGCACTTGATATAATCATAACTTTCACAACAAAATTAGGCATCTTAATTAGTATCTATTAAAAACGTCGCACGTGAACTTGCTGTAGAAATTTAAAATGTTGAAGTGGCTGAACTCAGGACGCGTATTAACCAACGGGTCTCAAAATATAGTAACTATTAATGATAAGTTCGAAGGTCAATGTTATAACGGTGATCATTTGACACTTCAGATTTTCATAGGACTCGTTTTCGTAACAGCATGACGAGAAATGCGGTAGCATATATCTGTGCTCGAGAGAATTTCAGTTTTGTAAACACAATCGGTCCGCTCTTTTCCGGCTACACTTTCTCATTCTTTAGCCCTTATTTTTTGCCCCCTAATTTTTCTCGGCGTTTTCAACCCCCACTAGAAGATATGAAGGGATCCTTTCCCTCTCTCAGGCACGGCGCGCGCTTTTCATGGAGGGGATGCGGAAAAAACACGAGGAGATGTGCACAGAAGGAAAAGCTCGACGCCTGCGCGCGGCCGCGCAAGGAATCAGTAGACACCGCGCGTAGGGGCAAGATTCTCACCCTCGCGCCCGTCTAAGAGTGAAATGAGATGGTGCGATCTATCGTGCCCGTTTTGGCGCACACGCCTTGCATCGTGTTGTCCTATTTTTGCGGCGGTTTGGCCTCTCCCGTCCTTCGCGATTTTCGACAGTATTTCTCGCAAACAGCCGCGACGGCGAGCGTCTTTATTTCCGCGAGAGCGTCGTTTAGTCGGTACGGGGCGGCGTCGCAAACCCTTACGTGTATCACTTATATCACGAGCACATCGTCGTCAAGGAATCAGTTCGTTAGTGAGCGTCGCACGAGTCGGTTTCAAATTACGTACCATCTTAAGACGTTTTAAATAATACAACTTAGACGATCACCTAATAAACAAAGACTGCTGATATAAATATATACGCGACCGCTAAAATAGTTCGTTATAGTTTAAGTTCGAATACGTCACGCGTGAGTTGTACTATTCTGCCGTGACATAGTGATTGCATACGACGTGCATAAACACAACTGCTCGTGTAAGTGACACAACGAAACCGAGTAAACCGCGCGCGACTCTGGCGCGACCACGTGTGTGTTGTGCGACCATGTGCTCGCGTCCGTGAAGCGCTCATTAGTCAGTTCAATTCAAGAATCTAATATTTAGTATTGTGTGTCTTTGCAGAAGTGTTCCCGGTGCTGGTGCTGGTGAATCGCAATCAATAGTGATCAACTCTTCGGCAGCCATCAACACCGGTTTTAAGTCGATCACAAACAGGTGATCGCCTTTTCCTTACGAACGACAATACTTGTCAGTGACGCCGACCGATACAGGTCCGCGCATTGACAACTTATTTATTTGCTTCGAGCGTACGTTTAACATTTTAACCACGGAGGAACACGCGCTAAACATTAAAGTGGAGCAGGACAATTTTGTCAGCAAGTGGCTCAACAATTCATTCAAAACGGAAACTACGGCACTGGACCTACGCGCCACACCGCTATCGTTGCAAATACCGCAGATGTCTACGGAAGTGCAGCAATCAAATAGGTCAATATTTAAAATGAATGCAGACTTTTGGCAACAGGCGCGCGGTCCGCCTCCTGGGGGTGATACCAACGACAGTCCTGTGCCCGGAGGTAGCGCCGTCTCTCCGGATCTGCACAATACTGGCGGCCAGCAACAACAAAATCAACAACAACAAAGCCAACAGCAACAGCTACAACAGCAGCAGCAACAACAACAGCAGCAGCAAATATCAACTCCTACGCCGACATCGGGCCCACCATCACAAAATCTGACGCCGGGTCATATGACCCCAGTCGGACAGCTTACTCCTGGACAATTAACACCATCAGGACACATGACTCCCGGCTCGATCAACATGCAAGTTGCTCTTGGACAGGGACCTCCGCAGCATCCGCCGCAGTCCGCAACTCCTGGTGCAAGTTCGACACCGGATAACAAGATGATGACTGAAAAACTGGTGAACGAATTTCAGGTAAGCGAGTGTTTTTTATATTATATTATTCTTTTATTTCAACCATGCTTTTCTTATATTTATTATTAATAAAAAATATCGTCACGGGCAGAAGTGGGTTCGAAACAATATAATTTTTTTTGGCCGTACCCACTGAACAATCCCGTTCTTACCAAAAACTCCCCGTGGCTGTTGACACGAGTTAGTGCCGCGATGTATTCCCAACCAGTTAGTTCGTCTTGAAGCTTACTATTAAAATAAATAAAAAAGTGTATAAAATAATATTTAATATAATGTGGTGAAAAATTATCAAGATACTAATCGTTAATTGTGAAAGTGCAAAAAATCAAGAATAAACATAGTTTCAAAGTTTTATGTAAAAAATAATCAGAGGAATAATAATTAAAGTTTACGTTCTTTAAAAAAAAAAATACATAAACTTAATATAATGACAAGGTTAAAACTAAATATTCCGGCGATTTTCAAATAGGGTCTTTTGAGTATAAAACATTTAAAATTAATTTTTAACTATATAAAATAATTTAAAAATGTGTTTTAAAATTACTATTTATTTCAAGTGCCCAAAAAATTATTCACGTATATTATATTTAATAATAATAATTATTATTTCAATAATAATAATAAAAGAAATTTTCATATAATTTTATAAGAAACTTATGTGTAATTAATATACTGAATGTGCCACACACGATTAATACTCAGATAATGTATAATCAAATAAATCTACAAGTTAGTGAAAAATAATAATAATAATGATAATAATACATATTCATAATATTAAGTGCAATCAAAAAAGTTACAAGTGTGTAAGAAATAAATAAACTCAAGAAATAATTAAATATAAAAAAATTAAGAAGTGTTTAAAAACATATAATATTAATCCGAAAATGTGTGATTATTAAATTTATAAGTTTTTAATTAATTTCACAAAATTTGTTTGTCAAATTTAAACAAAATATATTTCTAACAATATAAAATAATAACATAAATTCTCGTGCAGCATTCATCATCTACTCTTATTCTTATCACGCAGTATACCCAAGTGGTTAGAAAGTTGTTTGATACACTACTTAAGCGTCATGTAATGAGTTTGAAATATAGTTACAAGAACGATTATTTATATATATTATTTAAAACTACTTAAATTTAAAAAGTGCTCAAAATCCTTAAAATAATAATATATATTGTATAAAATAGTAATCGTGTAAATAAAAAAAAATTAAAAATTATAAAACAGCATTGTTTCATGAAAAAATTAAATGTCAAAATTGAATATTATAATAGTGCTTTAATATTAATAATATAAATTAAATAAAATATTGCTTTAAATCCTGTAAAACATATATCGCATCAAAACAGTGATCGTGTAAAAAAAATTGTAATCAGTGTAGACATTCGATGACACTGATTTATAAAATGGTTAGAAGTGTACGCGAATGTGTCTTAATTGTGAATGATACAAGATGAACCGAGTGGTCACATCTGTCGGACAACGTCACGAACTAACCCTTTCCCCACTAGCTGATACCTTTTCCAGAAAGGGGTAGCGCACGCGCACCCCGAAGTGAAACCCCACCAAAATTTAGTTCTCGACGGGGAGTGCGAAGGGAAGACAAGAGCTTATATAAGTGCGAACACATTACAAAGATTGTCAGTTGCACCAGGATATTTAACAGTAACTAGGTTAACTGACTGAGAATGAATTTCCTATAAACAGTTACCACAATCATATATTTACGCATGAAAACTGGCCAAACAAGGTGCTACAGTGCGAACAACCACCTTTGTATTGTACATTGATATCGTCTAAGGTGTACAATTACATTAATTGGCTTGTCATTTGTGAATAGCGTTGGCGATTCTAAATAATTCATTGACATATGTTATTTGCAAACATCTTATTAACGTTAAGCACTGGCGATTGAAGTAGTCAAAGAGCATGTATCCGTAAATTAGCATTGCCAATTTGCAACTACTTGATCATTTTATCCAATATGTTTAAATTCAATTTGTAAATGATTTAAGCCTCGTCTTCAAGCTTGACCAAATTGAACCATGAAACATTTCCAAAGTCTAATTTATAAATGTTAGTAATATTTTTTTATAATACTGCCGTTACTATTTTTATACACAATAACTAACCTCTAATTTTCCTTGCTTCCCTCGGATAGCTGCAAGCTCGCTCAAATTCTGCAATCAGCGAGCGAACTTTAGAAGAATGCTGGTCAACCCTGCAACGAGTGAGTTGGCATCTATTACGTTGTGTATAGTATTCTTCCACCAAACTTCGACAAAAAAAATGCTGTTGTGTTTTGATGTAGATTTTTATTTTTTATGATTTTCTATTGCCCTTTGATTTGAGCATTTATTTCAATTTTGAACACCAATTTTGATTGTAACTAACGATGCATGGTGTTTTCTCACGGTTACATGAGACGATTTAAAAATTAATAATTTTGGCATGAAATTAATAATTCAATTTGAAAATAATAATATTGAATCAGTAGTTTGTCATTTTTTATAACCAATAAATAATTTTATTTTTACTGAAGTTTATCGTTTTTCTCAACCCGCAATTTTTGTTACCGCAACCGCGTCATTAAAATAATTTATCTTTTTATCATTAATATGATTTTGTTAACAAAATATACACAATTATCTATAATTGTTCAATGCTAAGTGCACTTATAACGTTATGTGATATTTGAACCTTGCACTGATCATAGATGAGCATGAATCAATCAACAAATCTTATTTACTCCTTATTTTTGTGATTCGATGTTGTCAGTTTGTTAGATGTGTCAGTAGTTTATATTTGAATGTCAAATTATCAACATATTTAAGGGGTATTGATTTAATTATTTTCGGAAGGTGAGTAATAAATCTATTTCAAAGTCTATCTACAGTTGCACGCATATTTCTAAATAAAATCGTTTCTAGATGTTGCTTCCCGATAAAGTTTTTTTTTAAAAAAAAACCTTTTTGTTTGCATTCGTACCAAATACATATTATGCGCTAGGTGTACGTATTATACCAATTGCATGGTGTAGAATATCAGAGGGTATTCAAATAAAAGAGTACAACTTTGATTGTCTCAACATACGCAAAAAATCATTCACATATATGCAAATGAAGAGTTCTCGTACGGGATCCCTTTTTTGATCAGTTGTTTACAGGATCGGCTTTGCAATAACCGAAACTTGAAATTGGTCCATATAAGAAAATAAATAACAGGGGCGGCACTTTACGTTGCCACAGAGGCAAATTCAGTAAATAATATTTTGTAGACTCTCGTGCACAAAATTCACAAATTCAATTTTAATTCTGGTCATATCGACTTATTTTTATTGCATTTATATGTATATTACATTGCATTCATATGTTTATTGCATATTGTATATAATGTACATTGCATATTTTTGTATATTAATATATGTACATAAGTTCATATAGATTTGAGTAATATAAATAACATTATTTTTAATAAAAAATTTAAATACAAATTTATTATTCATTATTAAGTATCTATTAATGATAAAAAATTTAATAGTTAGTATAAAATATAAATATAAAAAAAAAAACAAATAAAATAATTAAATTTAATAACTAGTGTAAAATAGTAAGTCAAACTGACATACGGTAATCTAGAATAATCACCTCAAATTGATAATGATTAATAAACTTTTCATTACATTTTTCCTTGAACAGATAAACTATATTATATTTCTAATTTAATATAAATTTTATTAATTTCTATGCATACAAATTACAAATTAAATGGGTTTTGTAAAATCTTCTTATTATTTGTTATTATGTATGCAACTCTACATTTTCATCAATTTTTATTAAATCGTAAAGTCTTCCAAATAAAATCTACTTTAAAATCCGAATTGTTTTCCACTTTTAAAAATACCCATCCCCCAGAAAAATTTGAGGATATAATAAGATAAGTCCGTTAGCCCTGTGTATTAGATTTCTCGCGCGGGGCTTTCTTCATCAGGTAGATGTAAACAAGTTTTACATACACTATTTCAATAGATCATCATTTTCGGGACCTCTTTATTTCACAATAAGAGACACCCTTTTGTCTTTCGAGTATAAAAAACAGTACGTTGACAGTTTAAAAAAAAAATTAATTCCGTGAATAAAACCGGATTTTTGGTTTCATTAATAGAAACAGATTTAATTTAAATAATACCTGTATATATATATATATATATATATATATATATATTCTTTGAATATAAATATTTAAATTAAATTTAAATATTAAATATTCTGTAGTTGACATACGCAAGTTTGCAATAATGCGTGACCTGCAAAGTACGATTTTTTTAAAAATGATAACTCATCATATAAAATTGCGTGATTATTAATTTGATTAACGTTTAACTCTGGTAAAAATTTGCAAAATAAGCTGTAAGAAAATTTATGCGTACAGTTTTTTTTCGCATTTCAATTGCGAAATCGCACTTACATTACCTCACTTTTCAATAATTTACATTCTTAGAATTGATACACGATTCGGCGATATTTTATAGTAAATGATTTATATGAAACACTTGATATAGAATAATAGTAATTTTAACTAATTAACACGTTATTCGACACATTAATATCAGAAATAAATCACATGGGCCATGGTAACTTTACTAATTTAATTAAAATTGTATCAAGAAAACTTAATGTATCAAATTAACAAAATTCCTGGAAAAAAACTATTTTTTATGTCACACATATATGACTAACATGACTACAAATGTACTGTTTGCGTCGGACATCTATTAATTTTTTTTTATTATATTATATACTATCTTTATTATACCACATGCTATCTTTAATTTTATCGTATGCTATCTTTTATAAATCTTATACTATCCAATATTCTTTATAACTAACTTCCTTCATTCTTCATTTTCTTCTAAATTTAATTTTTCTTTTAACTTCTTATTCTATTCTATCTCAAATCAATAATTCATATTCTACTTTACTCTGAGCATTAGTCACTTCTTCATTCTTCTTTCTCTTCTTGTTTTGCTTTACTTCTAACTTCTAATTCTATTCAACTTTTATCTTCTTTATTACTTCATTCTTATTCTTTTTCTGCTTTTTCTTCTTCTTATTCTTTCTCTCCTTTTTCTTCTTCTTCTTCTTCTTATTCTTTCTCTTCTTTTTCTTCTTATTATTCCTCTTCTTTTTCTTCTTCTTCTTCTTCTTCTTCCTCCTTAGCGTGTTCTAATCTATTTTGCTTCCTGCTCCTAATCATCTCCTAATTCAACTTAGCTATTCGAATTCTGTAATTTTAATTTTTAACAATATAAATTTTATGTGAATGCTAGGACTCGTACCGTGTATCTCCAGCGTGTCAGTCGAGCATGCAAATTTCTCTTTAAGCATTTTTTTAATAAAAAAATATTATCTTTAGCGTGTTGTAATCACAACAAATTGTATTATAACTTTTATCCAAACGCAACAATATGAGCAATGTGAAAATTTAATCTTTGATATGACCCTCAGTGTTTAATTTTTTTTCATTTCATTTATATTAGAATAAACCAATAATTTAAAAAAAAAGCAATATTCTATCTGCTATGTATGCAAAAAAAAACTAATGGCGCTGTTGATTACGTAAATGAAGCTAAACGCGTGCCAACACAGGAAGAACTTTTTCAACACAAACGCATCCGTCGAAACTGGTGTGTAGTCCCATTGGTCGCACAAGCGCGCCGGTCTGCTGAGCGCCTATGGCAGACCTGAGTCAAACTATTTATCAAACAATATAAAAGAAACGGTAAAGAAATCATAACAATGCTAGTAAACAAAACAACCACGGGAAAACAGCAGATCACCTTCGCATGCTTTTCTCGCGATCTTTTTCTGTGTGATAAGTCAGTGAAAATAATATTTTTAAGCTCAATCGAATGGTTATGATTCTGAAGACGGAAGATGTTATTATGCTAGGATACTGTGACATCTAAATATTTCAATAAATGCAATTTTACTTTATTATAATTAAAAAATTTCTAATAAGTTATCAATACCTCTTTTTTATATGTCTGCACCCATTCCATATAGAAAATTTCTAGCAGGCACGCTATTGGGTGCATCTACTAATTTCTAATCAATATGATTCTCTCATATATATTGCTAGCTGTCTCTGCTCATTTTTGAATAATCGGATTACAGAATAAAGTAACTAAAAAAATCCATTTAGAACATCAGTAAATTTTTAGTACTACTTAGAATGTCTAAATCGAATGCCTATCCAGTGATTGGACGTCTGGGTATGAAAATTATCAATACCTGACATATATTATGTTCTATCTTTGCCGTGAATAAAAATATATAAAAAGTGAGGAAAAAGATATAAAAATGATTAGATTATTGAATTGCATTATAGATACCCGTTCTGCACGCATGCATTTATTGCTAGATGCAATAAAGTTGACGTTGCGTACAAGCAGTTTAGACTCGTGTAAAGTATCCACTGGATTATTATATAGTTATTTTATCTCACTTTTTATGTTTATAAATAAGTCCCATCTCATAGACTTAATTATTAATTTCTTTAATCCGCACTTATTTTTTATGTTGGTGAATAAAGGAAATACTGTCAATTTCCACTACGAATAAAGTTGCACAAAGTATTAGAAATTATATTCTCATATATCTTTAAAATTGCGTTAGTTTCAAGTCTATCATTTTGAAAAACCGAATACCATTTCTACATTCTGCATTAATGTATGTTCGGCATGCATGAACTACATAAATCAAGGATACACAATCTGTGGTACGAACACGCAATTTTGACTCTATAAATTTTCAAAAACTTAAGTTTTTGTGTAGTTTCAAAAAAATCGAATGTGGAATTACAATAATAAATTTGTATGCATGACAAAACATTATATTTGCAAGTGGTTTTTTATTTAAATGCAATTATTTGCGTGATCCCCACCCATTAAGAGTGCCTGCATTCAGGCGTTACTTATTTGTAATTACCCACCAACATTCTGATATGCAATTATAGTATTTTTTTAGAGAAATATCGTTAAAACGATGGAATGTCACATACGGTGATCGTAAACGAATATATTGCATTAATTAGTTTCCGTATTGTTTTTATACATGTCTGTAATATATACTCAAATAATAATGTAAGGGTAATCAAAAAAAAATTCTCATTATACCTTTGCGTAATATTTACCTAATGTGTTATACTGCAATATGTTGTCGTCAATAT